CTCACTTTGTAGCCCAGGCTGGTCTCGAACTCGCAGTGATCCCCCTGCCTCAGCCTCCCGAGTGCTGGGATTACAGGTGTGCATCACCACGCCCGGCCTTTTCCTTTAAATTGACTCCATTTTTCTTTAACCTAAATGCATGCATTTACACAGGAAGCTTAATGTATACATGGAAAATCTGTGTCACTTGACATAACTAGAGGATAACCTGAAAAGAAAGTGTTAGTGAGTTCCTCCGGATACCAGGGCTATTTCCCAGCAAAGGTCCAGCTCAGAGAGGAGTTTAACAACCCTTACAGATGCCTTAGTGCTGAGTAGAGCGTGTCCTTAAAGAGATCAGCAGGATTACTAAAGGAGTGAATAAGGAACGCATTTTCCACGTGGATCAACGTTACTTTAAGCTTAAAAATCCTTGAAATACTTTCTCATATGATGTGGACCACTATAGCCTGTGGTGGAGACATGGGCACATAGCTTGCTGGACTCTTAGCCCAGCTGCTGTTTGCTTGCCTGCCCTCTCTGAGGCTCCCGCCTCACCTGCAGGTGATGAGGTTGGAAAACATGCCCGCGGCCCTCGTGGATCTAAGTCTGGGACTCCGTGAGGCCCTGACTCCCTGGAGGGGACGTGGGCCTTAGAGGACCTGCATTCCCTTGGTCTGCGCTCAGGCCCCTTGGCCAGGGCTTGGGAAAGCTGCAGGGCCTCAAGTCCCCGGCTAACACCCCACCCCCTGGGAGGATTTAACTTCTCTGAAAACCACAGGAGAGAGTCAGAAGCTTAGAGCCTAGAGTTCAAGAGACTGCAACTGAAGTCCTTGCTCAGCTTCCTGCTAGTTTGGGGACTTTGAGGAAGTTATCGAACAATTGGCCCTGATTTTCCTCAGTGTGAAATAGGAATAGTGATGGTATTTATTCTTACTGTGAAGATTAAACTATAAGACGCATGCCAAGTGCCTGTCACAGTGCCCATAATCCTTAAGGTTTTGTTTTTGAAAACGAAACTAGGATGTCCCAGGAGGGAGGTATTGGGGAAATTATTCATGACCTCTGCTTCTAATATTTTTACTTAATTAATTAATTAATCTTTTTGACAGAGGGTCTTGCGATGCAGTTCAGGCTGGTCTTGAGCTCACTTTGTAGCCCAGGCTGGTCTCGAACTTGCAAGGATCCTCCTGCCTCAGCCTCCCGAGTGCTGGGATTATAGGCCTGTGCCACCACGCCTGGCTGCTTCTAATATTTTAAAAACGGCTGAAATGAGTCTTCTAGGCTGGCGTCCGGAAAAAGGGAGGCCTTGTCTGAGGACCGGGCTATGAGGGTACCAGGCTGACCCACTCCCACAGGGCCTTGGTGACACTGGGAGATGAATGTGTTTGTGTGGGTTTAGGACTTCAACAAGTATTTAAATGTTTTGTTTTTAAGTACACGCTGAGCAGCTTGTGGCTTTCCAGCCCACAGGCTTCCTGGGTCTCTGCTCAGCTCCTTTGTGCGGGTGCCTGTAAGTGTGTGTGTGTGTGTGTGTGTGTGTGTGTGTCAGGGACAGGAGCGAGGCAGAGTTTACCCCAGTGGCCTTGATCTGCTGGCCACTAAGCCAGGGCTGTGGAGGGAGGTGGCAGGAACTGCAGGACTCTGAAGTTTGGCAAAGAGCAGTTGCTTATGCTGCGAGGCTCCTTCTTGTGAGCTCTTTGCTGCCACTTCTGCCAGGTAGAATTCACCTACTTAGCGTGATCCTGTGACCGCCACTGAGAGCGCAGACGCGCTGGTGCTTGCGTTGTGGACCTGGATTTCATACTGACGAGACCACTCAACAGTGCCGTCCACTTGGGCAAGACCTCAAGCATCTCTGGGTCGTCTTCCCTCGTTTGTCAAGTGAAAGATCTTCCCCCTGGTTTCACGTTAAAGTTATCTGTGTGTGTGTGTGATGGATGGATTTTGGAGCCCTTTGCCTGGTGAGGGTTTTGGTCCTCTCGCCCCAACATCTTACAATGTTGAAATATATATGCACATTTTAATATAAAATTTCAGGGGGTTTTCAAGCGATTTCATAAAAAACAGCCCACCCTTAGATATGAGAGAATGAACCGCTGATTCTGTGCTTCCACGAAGCCCACAGTTCCTAAGCTGGCTTTCCTGCTCAACCCCGGCCAGAATGAGGATTTTGTATACTTGTAAATTTGTGTTTATTACTGTCTTGGTTACTTTTCTCTCATTGCTGAGACAAATACCCCATGCCCAAATTAAGGAAGGAAAGGTTTATTTAGCTCACAGTTTGTGTAGGTTTCAGTCCATACTCAGTTGGCTCCAAGGCACAGTGGCACATGGCAGAGGGCAACAGTTCATGGCTGCAGAAAACAGCAAAAGCAACAAGAACACAAGGGAGGAGCAGCGGCCAGCAGCCTCTTTCCCTCCTTTACGTTGTATGCAAACTACCGGCCCCAGGGCAGGTGTAGCACTCACACCCATAATCCCAGCATTGGACTATGGATCAATCATGAACTCTAGAAGCCCGTCCTATGACTGCATGAGGCTTTGGGAGACATCCAGACACAAACCATAACAATTACATTCTCTCTCAAATACCGACCCAGGAGCCCCGGCCCACTATGGCTTTGGAGGAGACGTGCTTCCTAGACCTTTGCATGTGACCGCTCCCTGGACAAGGCATCCCTAGCTGCTTGCTAGCTCACGGAGGGTGCAAGGGCCAGCAGCACCATGCATAGCCTACAGCTGGGCGGCAGAATGTACGGCCCGGCAGGAATCCTCTTCTGGAGACCTGACAAGCAGCTCGTTCTCCCTGATGGGCTCAGTGGACAGTGGTAATCAGTGGTTGGAGAAGGAGTCATTGAGGGGTAGAAATACACACTTAGGGAAGACTCGGGCAAGGTTGGGCTCCTCGCACTAGTTAGGACCCTTTGTGGACAGTAAGTTGATTCACTGGAGTTCTTCACCTCTTTTTTTTTGGTTTTTCTCCGGTACCGGGAACCGAACTCACGACCTTGCGCTTGCCAGGCAGGTGCTTTGCCACTGAGCTAAATCCCCAGCCCGATTCACTGGAGTTCTTAACTGCAGGTAACAATCTGGTTCCGGCTGCCCAAGGCAGGAAAGAAACTTGCCAAGAGCTGGTCAGGCGGTTCTGAGACGTGCCGGGCACATTCCTGCCCCGGCAGCAGGGCGGAGATGAGAGTGTGGAGGCTCCACCGAGCCAGCAGCTGAGTGATGACTCATTACCAGCGTGGCATGGGTGCCACTGCTATGAAGCCAGCCCTGCACAGTGCTGCCGCTGACGGCCTTTGCTGCCACCACTGCCATTCAAATGAGTCCCCTGGGCCTCACCTCACGTGCACGCCGAGTTGCTTCAGCCTGGGTTCTATGCTCGAGCACCCCAGCTGCAAAGGACAGGAGAAAGTGGGTGACATTTTCAGCTTGCAGAGAAGGAAGTGGTCCGCCTCCCACAAAGGCTCTGGCGTGGGGGACACCAAACAATGCAAGCAGCCCTCCCAAAGCAGCAAAAACCCGGCAGCAATGGACCAGTCTGAGCTGGCTTTAGTAAAGAAAACTCTTCTAGGCTGTAGAGTGCTTCCTGGCACTGAACACAGGAGGGAAGCCAGCTGGGGCCCCGAGACTGCTACTCGGTGGAATTCTCTCTCCAGGGTCAGATCTGCTTCTCCATGTGCCTTTATTTTCCTTGCTGCATTCTAACCTGCGCCCCAGTCCAGGAGGGTAGGGCTGAGTGGAAAAAGGGTCTCAGATCTTGCTTCTATGGCTCAAGTTCCTCTCTGAAAGGAAGCCGGGCATTCACCATGTCTTTGTGCCTTCGTTCTGACCACCTGCCCCAGGTCTCTGGCGTCTGGACTGTCTTCTCCTGCACCTTGGCCTGGCTCCCTTGACAGCCCGTGACCCTCCTCAGGTCTTGCTGGATGTGGGTGGCTGCTTGTAAATTCCTCCAGTACCAGCGGACACTCTGGGGTCTGAGAAGAAATGTGCTCACGATTCAGAATGTCCCATGCATGAGACTCTCTGTAGACAGTGCAGAGAAGAGTGCTTAGCTTGCAGAAATCTCCTCTCTTCCCCCATGCTTTCTTTTTTAAAAATTTAGAAAAACTTTCTTTTTATTAGTATATGTTTGTGATACACAACGAATGTCTACATCACAGGGTGCTGGTACCCGTGTCTCCCCCACCTTGGTTCTTTTTCCTCCCCTCCCGTCTCTGTGTAGCATGCTCTTGGGAGACATTTGTTATAACGTTGTGATTTCTTTTCATCCAAGTGCATTTCTTTCCTCCTCTTGGTCTTCCTTGGCTGCCTTCCCCCCTCATGGTGCCCCCTTTTCCAATCCTGTGGACTAAATGCCTTCAGGACCTGGCATCGTCCATGAACCAGACTGACAAGATTCCTGCCCAGTTAGGACTTTAATTCCAACGGACAGCAAAGGTAGCACATAAGATTATTTCTGTTTTTTTTTCTTTGTCTTTTTGAGACAGGGTCTCACTATGCAGTTCAGGCTGGCCTTGAGTTCACTTTGTAGCCCGGGCTGGTCTTGAACTTGCAAGGATCCTCATGCCTCAGCCTCCCGAGTGCTGGGATTACAGGCGTGGGCCACTGCATCCGGCTAAGATTATTCCTGATAGTTTTAAGTTATCTGAAGGAAACAAACAGAAGCGACAGGAGCTTGGTCTAGAGAAGATGCCTCGGAGGTGGTGAGAGGACCGAGCTCTCGAGGTGGGCAGGAAGGGAGATCAGCAAGCGCAGCAGCTGCGGGGAGACACCGGAGCTGTCAGCGGAAGCGGGTCCCACAGCAAGGCACAGGAAGCGCAGGTCAGTTTAAGTAGGAGAGGGCCGTAATCTGATTTAAATTAAAAGTTTATGGAGATTAAAAGTTACTTTTATCAGAAAATTCCAGTTGAAAAAGAGACTCTAACCAAACGGAGACAGCAACCCTACTGGCTTGTACTCCTCAAAAATGTCGGAGTCCTGAAAGACAGGAAGGCCAAAGAACAGCCCCAAAGAGACGCGACCTTCAGCTCCGCGTGTAGCTGTGGGCGGGGTTCTGGGCTGCGGATGGAGTTGGTACGAAGGACGTGACTGGGGCAACCGAGGAAATTCTGAAAGACTGTAAAGTTTCAGAGAAGAGGATCGAATCATTGAGTAATTTCCTGGATTTGGTAACGTAGCTGTGATTATGTAAGAGAATGCCCTCGTTTCAGGAAATAACTGTGGAAAGGTGTAGGGGTAAAAGGACCTAATGCCTGCTACATGCTCTCAAAATAGTCAGGAAGAAAAGATGTGTACATGGAGCGAGTGATAAAGCAAACATCTAGGACATTAAAAGTGTGCAGATCTGCATGAAAAATAAACTTGATTTTTTTTGTGCTGTTCTTACAATTTTTTCGAAGCTTCTGTTATTAAAATGTTTATGTGTATCATTTTGCTGTTTTTCTGTTTGATTCCCCTATTCCTATTTCTCTGTTTTTTTTTTTTTTTGGGTGGGGGTTGAATGTTTGCTTTTGTTTTTTAGACAGTGTCTCACCTTGTGGTTCAGGTGGCCTTGAACTCACTATGTAGCCAGGGCTGGCTTCAAACTCGTAGTGATCCTCCTGTCTCAGCCTCCCAAGTGCTGGGATTATAGGTGTGCTTCATCACCCCGAGCTGGGTCGACTATTTTTGAAATGATCTTTGTTTTTTTTTTTTTTTTGGTTTTTCTCCGGTACCAGGAACCGAACTCACGACCTTGCACTTACCAGGCAGGCGCTTTGCCACTGAGCTAAATCCCCAGCCCCTGAAATGATCTTTGCTGACTTATTAGCTGTGGCTTTTTTAAGTCAGCAATTTAGAATATGTTTTATACATCTTTATAGATCTTTATTTGCACATCTTTATCTTATCACTGTCTACTTTCAGCTGAGGTACTTTTTTTTTTTTTTTTTTTTTTTAGTACTGGGAATTGAACTCAGGACCTTGTGCTTATGTGTGTCACTAAACTATACCCCCCAGCCTGGGTGATGTACTTGTTACAAGTACTACCAGTTCTTTTCTCCTGGCTTTTATGCCATTATGGTTATACATTTTTACTTCTTTTTTTAATTAACTAAGTTTATTTGTGCATTTTAGGTATACATAATGATCACATTCATCACAGAACATTTTTACTTTTTAATATTAGCCCTATTTTGTCTCTTTAAAAAAAATTTATTTTATTTTATTTTTTTCTTCCAGTACCAGGAATAGAACTCACGACCTTGTGCTTGCCAGGCAGGTGCTGTGCTGCTGAGCTAAATCCCCAGGCCCCAAAAAATTTATTTTAAAGAGAAAAAAACCCCCAAATTTCAAAACAATAGAAGAGTAACAATGGTCAATACATTGCATATTGTCATCTTTAAATTAGTTACTGAGAGTATAAGATACAGGCATTTAATTGTCCAAACAGTATTAACAGAAACATTTCTTTTCAATGAACTAAGAGAAATCAGTAGTATCACTATCTTAACTATTTTATACATACACACACACACACACACACACACATATATATATATAATTTTTTTTGCTTTTCCCTTCCTTCTTTTCTCCCTCTTCCATCCAGGTTTCTTTTCCTTTTGAACAGTTTCTTTCCATTTAAAAATATCTATTGTACTTTTTTTTTTTTTTTTTTTTGTCTTTTTGAGACAGGGTCTGGCTATGCAGTTCAGGCTGGCCTTGAGCTCACTTTGTAGTCTCACTATGCAGTTCAGGCTGGCCTTGAGCTCACTTTGTAGCCCAGGCTGGTCTTGAACTTGCAACGATCCTCCTGCCTCAGCCTTCCAAGTGCTGGGATTACAGGCTTGCACCACCACGCCTGGCTATTGTACATTTTGGATTTCATTTATTCTTTCAGCTTCTCAAGCTAAGGGAGACAATATGATGTTTACATATATGAATTTGATTTATTTCACTTATAAGTATGGTCTCCAATTGCATCCATTTACCTATGAAAGTCTCCATTTCATCCTTCTCTATGGATGAGTAGTACTCCATTGTATAAAAAGACCACATCTGTTTTTATCCATTCCTCGGTTGATGGGCATTTGGATTGTTTCCAAGATCTAGCTATTGCAAATTGTGCTGCTATAAACATGGGTGCACATATATCGCTGTGGTACAATGCTTTTAATTCTTCTGGGAAGATACCCAGCAGGGGAATAACTGGATTGAATGGGACCTCTAATCCTAGTTTTCTGAGGAATCTCCACACTGATTTCCACAGTGGTTGCACCAGTCTACACTCCTACCAACAGTGGAGAAGCGTTCCTTTTTCCCCATGCTCCCACCAGCATTTGTTATTGGTTGATTTCTTAGTAATAGCAATTTCTTCCAGGGTGAAATGGAATCTCAGTGTTTTAATTTGCATCTCTTGAATGACCAGTGATGTTGAACATTTTTCATATATTATTTACTGTTTGTATTTCTTTATCAGAAATATGTATTATTCTCAGCTGCCCATTTTTGGATTGAGTCTTTAAACTTGGGAGGTCTGATTTTTTTGAGTTCTTTATATGTTCTCCATTGTAGCCCTTTGTCTGAGGAACAGCTGGCCACCACTTTTTCTCACTTTGTTGGTGGTTTCTCTTGCTGTGCAAAAGCTTTTTAATAAGATGAGAGCCCAGTTGATTCTTTGTGATATTTCCTAGGTGATCAGGGTTCTATTTGTAAGGTCTTTGCCTACACCAATGTCTTCAAGAGTTTTACTTATTCTTCCAGCAGATTTAATATTTATGTTTTATTATTTAGATCTTTGATCCATTTTGAATTTAGCGTAGTGCATGGTGAATGATACAAATCCAGTTTTAATCTTTAGCATTACAGAGCCAGCTTTTCCATCATCATTTATTAAAGAGGCTATCTTTCTTCCAGTGAATGTGTTTGACACCTTTGTCAAAGATAAGGTGGCTGAATATGTCTGGAGTTGTTTCTGCACCTTCCAATCTGTTCCATTGATCTTTGGGTCTGTTTTTTTTTTTTTTTTTTTTTTTTTTTTTTTATCACAGTAGCTTTATAGTATAATTTCAAGTCAGGGATTGTGATGCCCCCAGCCTTGCCTGTGTTTCCCAGAACTGCCTTTACTATCCTAGGTCTCTTCTGGTTTAAATGAATTTTAGGATTGTTTTCTCTAATTCTGTGAGATATATTGTTGGAATTTTGATCAGAATTGCATTAAATCTATATAATAGTTTTGGAAGTATAGTAATTTTCCTATATTTGTTCTTTCTACCCAAAAGCAAGGGATATCTTTCCATTTCTTGATATCCTCTTCCATGTCCCTTGTCACTGTAGTTTTCAGTGTAGAGGTTTTACATCCTTCATTAGATTGATTCCTAGGTACTTCATCTTTTTGGATGCTATTGTGAAAGGT